GATACATCCGACCATCATTCCATGTCAGCCTGCTTCGCCCTTACATCCGAAGCACGAGCCAACTGCCTCGTCACGCCCGTCATCCATGACTCGCCCTGCATCGGAGCCGATCATCGAGCCCGAAAAAAATCTGGGCCATCGGATTCGCCACCCCAAAGGCATCAAGAGGATCGAGTTCATCGTTCGCTGGAAGGACCGCACGCCAACGAAGGATAGCTAGGTGCCCTTGGCCAACATCGAAAACCACCCTGCCCTGCAAGTGTACCCGAGGAGCCAGGGTTTCCGCGATATACACGCACTCGCGTAGCGGAGGGGGCTTCTTGAGGGGGGGGGGGGGGGGGGGGGGGGGTAGTGTAAGGATTTTTCTCGCTATTCCTTGACGCGACCGTCAACATTGCGTACAGCAGCAGCCGTTGTTCGCCCGTTACTGCTAATGAGGCTTCGCCAACTTCGCGCGCACTGTTTCACCAAACATCGCACTGCTGGAGCAGCCGAGTCGGCCTACGCTTCAGGACTAGCCCGAACTTCGCGCCAGCGTAGCACTAGCTAGCTCGCACGCACCGCGTTACCGTTTGCACATTTTCGCATATAAGTATTCGCTCATGCCTTCGCTCATACTTGGTACTCGTTGAACACTCTAGTGCAATCCTTGCTACCTCGATTCATTGCACCCGTAACAACAGTTCAGATACTATCAAAGGCTTCCCGAACGTGCAACGGTCGAAACCGATTGCCCTTCCTGCCCAGACGTTTTCCCGCCAAACCATGCTCAAGGGCGACCAGCCAGCCGGACCACTCCAACAACCTCCTGCCCTCCCCTCGCTTCAGCAACAGAAGCTCGATAGTATCCCCCGCTGTCGTTCCTTCGGCAACATCCAGAAATTGTTTCCTTGATTTTGGTTTCCGAGAGACCACCAACACCTTTTCGCTGACATACCTCAGCCTTGGAGTTCCCTTCCTCCCTGGCAGTCTAATCGCAGGTGAGGACGCTCTGCTAGTGCGTTCGTTGTTAGTGCAGGTCGTTTGATTCCTGGGTCTCTAACCAGGTGTCATGGAATCCACCAGCTGAATGATGAATGCTAATTCGCTTCTGCTTGACAGGACAGGTCTGAAGACCTGTAACTAGCTCTAGTCGTGGTTCTCCTGAAGCTCCAACACTGCAATTCTCCATTTGTCGAGTTCCCAAGCCCAGGCGGGGGTAAAAAGCATATCCTACTCGCGAATTCTTTTACTTCCACCCAGTCTGTTGCCCCACTATGGCATCAGCACCGGCGGCCGCGCGCCTGCGCGAGCTGCAATCGCAGCCGGGGAACAAGATCTGCGTGGATTGCAGCCAGAAGAATCCGCAATGGGCTTCCGTCAGCTACGGCATCTTCATGTGCCTCGAGTGTTCCGGCCGGCATCGCGGCCTCGGCGTGCACATCAGCTTCGTGCGATCCGTCACCATGGATTCCTGGTCCGAGATCCAACTCAAGAAGATGGAATCTGGCGGCAATCTCGCGCTGAATGAATTCCTGTCGCGGTACGGCGTGCCTAAGGAAACCGACATCGGTGTAAAGTACAACACCCCGGCCGCGGAAGCCTACCGGTCTAAGATTCAAGCCATGGCGGAAGGCCGATCCTGGACGGCTCCTAACATTGAAAAGGTTTCCTTGTCTGGCACGGGTGGGGGGGGCCGTCCGACTGCTAAAGCAAGCCCAGGTGGGTTCGGCTCCAGCGACGGGTGGGATGACTGGGGCGACGGCAGCTCAGGCAGCCAAGCGGGCATGCGTAGGCACCAGTCCGAAACCAGTATTTCCTCTGGACACGGCGCGAGCGGCCGACGGAGCAATTTGGCAGCCGGCGGCGGCGACGGCGGCGGTGGCGGTGGTGGTCATGGAATGGGTCATCATTCCGGCTCCACCAATGAGATTTACTCGCGGGAGCAGTTGGAGGCGTCGGCGGCGGGGAAGGAGTCGTTCTTCGCGCGGAAGCAGGCGGAGAATGCCTCGAGGCCGGAGGGCCTTCCGCCGAACCAGGGAGGCAAGTACGTGGGATTCGGCAGTGCGCCCGTTAACCGGCCCGCTAATCGAGGCGGCGAGGACGTAATCGAAGATACTGTCAAGATCGTCTCTGAGGTAACCGGTCGAATCTGTGTGTAGCTTGAGTGTGAAAGTCCACCTTTGTCTCATCTCGTCCTTCCCTGCCCACGGCGTTGTATTCGTCCCGTCGCTTTCCGCTTGCGCATTTTTCTCTCAATCATCTGTCGTTTCGAAGTGCCACCTGCTCACCTTAATTTACGTGCGTTTCTGCACGACCTGCCCTTCATTCTGTTTTCTCTGCCTGGTGCCCCATGTCGACTGATCGCCGTGCGTGTTCGCCCTAAATCCAGAGCTTCCGTTCTCTCTCGATGGCGGCTGTGGGGGTGGCAAGCTCAGCAGCGGCGGTGGTCCAGGAAGGAGCCAAGGACATTCAGAGCCAGGTTAGTGGAAGCATGCACTCTTTTCTCTCAGGAGTGCAGGCGTATTTTTCTCACTTGGGAAGGAACGTAGCAATACGTAAGGGCGTGTCACGTTGGTCGGTACGGGAGCAGTCTCTCTCGTTGCTCGGAGAGGAACAATAAAACGACAACCGATTGTTATTAGCGGCCAACACCTATTTAGGAAAGACAGCGGGGGAAGGAAGGACCGCGTATGTTCACGTTGCGTTAACCCTTTAAGTGTGACAACCTGCAGACGAATCAGGTCGGCCTTGCACCCCCCTTCTTACCCTATGGCCTCAACGTATCAGGTCACGGAAGGCGGTTTGGACAAGAAGGCCATTGAGACAGCCTCTGTGGTGGCAGGGCGTGCGACTGAGCTCGGGAAGTCAGCGTGGGGCTTCATGCGTGCCTTTACAGAGCGGGCTGTGCAAACCGTGGATGGCTACTCGGGTGGTGCGGTGGGGAACGCTCTTGAGGTGGCAGCTGCAGCCAGCGCAAACGCTGGGAGCATGATAGTCCAGGGCCTTACTGGTGCGGCTGTGAGCGAAGGTGGTGCTGGCGGTGCTGGCGGCGCTGTGGGAGGGAACCGGGGAGGAGGCGGCTTTGATGACTGGGATGATTGGGGGGATGATAACAAGGGGCAGTCAGGTCAGGCTGGCAGCGGCAGGTATAATGGGAGCGAGGGGGACGGATTCGGGCAGGGAAGGAGCAGTAGCACTAAGGATGACAAGCCTTTCACTGGTTGGGATGATGAGTGGGATGGTGTGAGTCCTAAGGCTAACAGGGGCCAGGGAAGCATGGCCAGCAGCAGCAGCAATGGGGGAAGCCGTGCATCTTCAGGAGCTGGTGCACAAAAGAAGCAGGCAGTTGCAGCAGCAGCAACAGAGACTGAGTCGGACTCATGGGGTGGATGGGATGATGTGCCATCGCCCGCTCCTGCTAGCACTGCCACTGCTGGTGCAGCAAAGAAGGGGGGTGCTGCCAAGAAAAAGGATGACTGGGATGATTGGGGAGGATTTTAAGGTTCCAATCCCAGCACTCTGCCGTGGAAGTGAGAAGGGTGAGGTGGTGGTACAGATGCGATTAAAGCCAGCCTGAAGGATACAGGAGTGGGAAGCTGTACTCCACCTTTCTCAGTGGTGGAAGATGCTGAATCAGAGCAAGGGCAGAGGGGAACTGTCAAGCTTTAGACACAAACTGAGTGCAGGGAAACAGTGCTGTTGGGGGCTGAGTGAGGATTGTAGGCACCCACAATGGAAGCTACAGTGGTGTTGTGACACTGACAGCCTAGTGGAGTTGGGAGGATGGTAATGGCACATGGGAACAGGAGGGGAATACCTTAAGGTCCTAGTTAGTTTGAAGTTGACAATCAATCCCAGTCAGGTCAGGTCTACTTTCCAGCTGTCAGTGCTACCGTTTTCCTAACGAGCTCTCGCCAAAAGCCAGCAAAGTTTTTATTATGCTCTGCAATATATTCTTGGTTTTATTCACAAAATCTATGGGATCACTGGGGTTAGGCATTTATTATTTCATACGTAGTTCTAGCATCTACAATAGCCAGTTCCTTGTGGATGTTATTTCTTTAGTTCTAGTGTTACCTCTGGTCTTGGGTTGGTTGGGTGAAAAGTGGCAGTCACGACTCACCAAGTAAATCTGGCTTCCCTAAGCTATCTTGAATATGTGGCGACCTACTAGCGGGTATTTTTCATTTCCCGATTCAAGATAGTTGCGTCAGTTCCAAGCTTGCAGTGTTGAGAAATCTACGGTTTCGATTTTTCACACGTCAGCGAGACTCATGATCATGGAGCCAATTGGCGAATCGGTTGACAGGACAGGACAGGAACCACAGAGAGAACGACCGAAGGCTGGTTTCCCTCGCAAACTTGGGACCTTCGGGAAAATGAACACGAGTGAACTTCACCCCTGCAGCTAGGTATTGAGTAGCTCATGCTCTGCCTTCTGGTTGACGACTGAGACTTTGAGACTTCGTGGTGTTTCCTGTGCGGAGTTTAGTCGATGAGATGGTAGTTCGCGAAGGAGCTTAGTGGTATCAGTCGCGAAACGGAAGCCTCATTATATGCACATCGCTTTGAAGCGATTTTGTGTCAGGTTCGACGAAGCGGCAGGTTGACACTAGCGAATATGCATGAATTGCAAAGGATGGCGATCCGAAGTTTTTGAAAAACTGAAAAGCGAGCATCTGTCACAGCATTGCCAGTTATTCGCTGTAATCGGCGAATGTAGCGTGATTCGGGTAAGCGAACCCACGTGACGTTCTCGAAGCTCTAGTGACGTCAGCCGAAACTGTAGCTGATGGGATCAGGAGGCCCTGGGTTTGAAAGCTACAATTGCTGAGGGGAAGGGAGAAAGGCATAAGGGAGAGGCATAGGGAAGAGGGATAAGAGAGAGAGGCTGGGGAGAACGTGAGAAGACGAGAAAGGGGAGGGAGGAGGGAGTGGTTGGAGAATTGGCGTTTATTGTGCAACGGTGCCTGCCATTTGTCTCGCCCGTGCACAACGACTGTCAAGTCTCGTACTCTATGACTTCAGATCAATCTCCGCTACAACTGGCCGCGGGTGTAGCGAAGCACAGTTCTTTTCGTGCTTGTAACGGGTATGCGCGGGGACAGGCGGGTGGTGGAGGGGATGGAGTGGTTCGTCGCGGCACGGGGCTAGAGCAGGACGAGGAGCAGGAGGAAGAGTGGGACGAGGAGAGGGAGCAGGAGGAAGATGGGGAGGAGGATGAAGAAGACGAGGAAGGGGAGGAGGCTCTGGAGGTGTGTTCACAGATGGACGATGCATGGTATGCTGCACGGCTGTGGGTTCTACCTGCTGGGAAAAGAAGAAACGGAGCGGCATTGGGGACAGGCGGGGATGGAAGGAGAGGGCAGGGCGGTGGAGATACGGATGGCAGTGATAATGATGATAACCCAGACAGAGCTAGCCATGGCAATCACCATTCCAATCATCATAACCATTCCCGGAGGCTGTTGGTGGAGTTTAAGGGGTTCAGTGGGGAGGAGGAGGTGCTGGCAGGCGAGCAGCAGGTGCGGGCGAGGGTGCGATTCGTGTCGCACCAGCTGCAGGACGCGCGGTGCTGGGCGGTGAAGCGTGGTGACAAGGTGTGCGCGTACCGCGTCAGTGGCGAGCAGTGCACGTACTACGATGCCCGCGTGCTTCAGGTGGGGACTCCCTTTGCACTCTCTCCCTTTGCACTCTCTCCCTTTGCACTCTCTCCCTTTGCACTCTCTCCCTTTGCACTCTCTCCCTTTGCACTCTCTCCCTTTGCACTCTCTCCCGTTGCACTCTCTCCCTTTGCACTCTCTCCCTTTGCACTCTCTCCCTTTGCACTCTCCCATTTGCACTCTTTCTCCTTCTCCCGCTCCTCTTCATCTTTGTCGCCGTCGCTGTCCTTGTCCTCCTCCTCCTCCTCCTCCTCCTCCTCCTCCTCCTCCTCCTCCTCCTCCTCCTCCTCCTCCTCCTCCTCCTCCTCCTCCTCCTCCTCCTCCTCCTCGACCCAATGGTTCACCTCTCCTTCCATTCCCCCTTCCATTCCAAGCACATTTCCACCCCATTCATCACACCAGGCCACACGAGAGCCACCCGTTGTGCCGGCACCTCACACCACCACCACCGCCACCCATCCCTCCCTCCCTCCCTCCCTCTGTCAACGCAGGTGATTCACCAGGAGCACACATGGGCGCACGGCGAGGAGGAGTGCACCTGCCACTTCTCCCTGCGCTGGCTCGCAGGCCCCGCCAAGGGCCAAGTAATGGAAGCAGGGTGCGCACACATATGCACTCTCGACCCCCGTGACGTAGCGACCTGCCATCCCCTCATCGCCTGGTACATTCACTCGCAGGACCTCATGCCTCCCCCTGAGCGATTCATCCTTGCAAAGTCCAGGCAGGCCTGCTTAGTTCCCTCTCCACGTGTTGCTGCTGGGGGGTTTAGGGTGGCTGGTGCTGCTGCTGGGGCTAATGGTGGTCGTGGTGCTGGTGATGCTCGTGGGATGGGGGGTGGTGTCAAGGTTAGTGGTAAGGGAGGTTCTTTCAAGGGTGCTGCAGGTGCTGCTGCTAGGGATGGTCTGTCTACTGCCCCGCTGCTTGCGCTGAGAGGAGCCGAGGCCGTGGTGGGGAAGAAAGAGCGGAAGCGCAAATGGGGTGGTGCTGCTGATGCTGCTGGTGTTGATGCTGACATTGAAGATGGGAACGAAGAAGACTCACGCAGTCGTATTAAGGAGAAGGTGAAAAAGAAGAGGAAGCTGTATCGAGGAGATGGGAATGGGGTACGGGCTGAGCGCCACGCTGGTAGACATGCCATGGTGGTATATAGAGATAACCCACCACACAGAGAGGCAAGCGAGGCAAGAGGGGACAGAGATGAAAGAGTTGAAAGTGCGGAAGCAGATAATGCAGGGATGCATTCAGTTCTGCCAACGCCATCGCCACTCACCCCTCTGCACCATGCTGCTGGTGCCGCCTCACCGCTCACTCCAGTCAGTCCTGCCTTTACACACATCCTTGCACTCCCTGCTGTCCGCCCTGCCCCGCTCTCGCCAAAACCTCAGTTGTCAATGCCTCACACCTCGAAGCATCACTCCCCAACGCCTCACTCCTCAAAACCCCACTCGCCAGAACCTCACTCCCCTCAGCTTCGTGTGAGAAGGCATGAGCGCTCTCCTGTGGAGAGTCGTCCTGGCTCGAGGGTAGAGCGAGAGGAGGAGTGGGAGGGCTGGAGAGAAGGGGAGGGGGGTGGGCGGCGAGGCTCCGGGCAGGAGGAGGAGAGGAGGGAGCAGGGGGTGTTGAGAGGTGCAGGGATGAAGCGAAGTGAGGCTAGATTTTCTCCTGTAGCTGTTCACACTGCTGCTGCTGATGGTGTTGTTGGTGGTGGTGGTGCTGCTGGTGGTGGTGGGGCCAGAGCAGCATGGGCGGATGGGCATGGTGGGAGGTACGAGCACCCCCGACGTGCGATGCGAAGCCCGGAGGGTAACTTGGAGCAACGGGGATATGACACAGCACGGTACTGGTCGAGAAGCCCTTACACTGCGTCCCCCACTCCTCCCCACACTGCGTCCCCCACTCCTCCCCACACTGCGTCCCCCACTCCTCCCCACACTGCGTCCCCTGGTCCTCCCCACACTGCGTCTCCCACTCCTCCCCACACTGCGTCCCCAACTCCTCCCCACACTGCGCCTGAGAGTGCTGCTCGTCATAGCGAGTATAACAGTGAGCACCATAGCGGGTATCACAGTAACTGGTACGGGCGAGGGGGTGAAAGGGCACGGAGTGGAGACAGGGGAGGGGGGGACGGTGAGGAGATGTGTGGGGCGCGGGAGAGGGATCATGCGGGCGATTCTAGGAGGGGCTTGGGCAGGGATGGGTATGTGGATGCACATGGGATGCAGGGTGATGATGAAGAGATGGGCATGCGGCATGGGTACCATGAAACGTTTCTGGAGAAGCGGAAAGAGGTGGGGATGGGGAGGTACGAGGGGTTGGACGGGGAATGGGGAAGGGTGGTGAGAAGAGGGGATGATGTGGATGGGAGGAGGAGGTTGCGAGAGAGGGAGAGGCAGGTGAGGGGTTTTGGTGTGGAAGGGGAGAGGGAACATGGGCGAGAGAGAGAGAGGGAAAAAGGTAGTAGCAGGGAGAGGGATAAGGATAGACACAGGCATCGGGACAGGGTGGGTGGAAGGGAGAGAGAGAAATACAAGGAGAGGGGGGAGGAATTGCATGGGGAGAGGGAGGAGAGGGAAAAGAAGCTGGAGATGGAGAGGGAAGGGGAGAGGGTTAGGGATAGGGATAGGGATAGGGATAGGGATAGGGATAGGGATCGGGATAGGGATAGGCATAGGGATGGGGATAGGGATAGGGAGAGGGAGAGGGAGAGGGAAAGGGGGGGAGAGAGGGAGCGGGAAGAAGAGAGGGTTAGGGAGAGGGAGAGGAACAGGGATAGGGATAGGGTGGTGCTAGCCGTGCAGGATAGACATGGGGGGGTCTGGGAAGCGGAGGGGGAAGGCGAGGCAAGGGGTGGAAGCAATAGAAACAGGTCACACAAGCAGGAGCATCTGGTAGAGAGAGGCTTTGGAGGGGGAGAAGGAGATGGATATGATGGAGAGAGGGGTCGTGGAGTGGGAGGGAGAGGGAAGGAGGGGTTGCATGAGGGCGAGTGGGGCAGCAGCCGCAGTGTAAGCAGGGATAGGGAAGGGCACAGAGAGGGGTTGTTGAGTCCTGGAGGGGTGGAGGGTGGAGAGATGGAGAGGCGGAGTTGGAGCAGGGACCGGGAGGGTGGGGGCAGGGAAAGAGGGGGTGGGGGGAGGGAACGGGAAAGGGGGGCCAGGGAACGAGAGGGTGGGGGCAGGGAAAGGGAGAGAGGAGGCAGGGAATGGGAGAGAGAGGGCAGGGAAGGGGAGAGAAGAGGCAGAGAGTGGGTGAGAGGGGGAAGGGAAGGGGAGAGGAGGGGTAAGGAGCGGGAGAGAGTGGACAGGGAAGGGGAGAGGAGGAGCGGGGAGTGGGAGAGCAGGAGCAGGGAGCGGGAACGAGGGGAGCGGGGAAGGGACGAGGAGGGGGAGGAAGGAAGGCATGATGAGTGGGAGAGGGGTAATAGCTTCAGCAGAGAGCAGTCAGCTGAGGAGAGGAACAGGAGAGGGGATAGTGATGATGGGGCTTTAAGAGGAGCTGGCGTGGTGGGGCATAGTTTGGCAGGGGATTTGCATGAGAGGGGGGAAAGGCGACGAGGGGAGGGAGACGGGGGTAGAGAGGGAGGAGGGCGAGGAGGAGGTGGTTCAGGGGGTGGAGAAAGGGGAGGAAGCAGAGGGGAGGCAGGGCGAGGGGGGGGAGAAGGCAGTGGGTATGGAACTCATGGGAATGGAATCAGAGGGAGAGGAGGAGGAGGAGGAGGAGGTGGTGGTGGTGGTGGTGATGGTGGAGGTGGGGATGGGGATGGGCGGGATGGCAGGCAGTGGAGGCGGGAGAGAGAGCATGCACTCCCTGTTGCTACGACCCGTGCTGCTGGAACACCACTCGCTTCTGATACTGCTGCTGCTAAGAGCAGCGCTGATGGTGCTGCTGCCGCTGCTGCTGGTGCGGACATCAGCACAGGCGGTCCTGGCAGCGGTGCTGGCGGCGGTGCAAGCGGTGAAGGTTCAAGGTCAAAAGAGGCTCAACTCGCATCTGCTGCTCCTGTCTTTGCCTCTCATGCGCCTTCCTCCACCTGGGATGGCCGGCAGCCGCGAGGCAGAAGCGCGGTCGTTAGAGGGGGGCGAGTAGTGGCAGTCCGGGGAGGGGTTCCAGAGACTCCCCAAAGGTCTCTCCCAAGAGTCGTTAGAGGTGCTGGCGGTGGCAGTGGTAGTGGTGGTGGTGGTGGTGGTGGTGGTGGTGGCAGCAGCAGCAGCGCGGTTGTTAGAGGTGGGCGGGCAGTGGCGGTCCGGGGCAGGCCTGTTGCTGTGAGGGGAGGGCGAGCCGGAGGTTCGGGAGGAGGTTCGGCAGGCATTGTAGGGTTACCAGCAAGTTCGTTACCAATAGAATCCTTACCGACAGGTTCGGTACAGGCAGTGCCACAGCCTGTATTACATGCAGTTTCACCTGCACTGGTAGCAGGCGGAGCAGCAGCAGCAGCAGAACTGCCTGCACCACTGAGAGCAGCAGTGCCTGGAGTAGGTAGAGCAGCAGCAGGCAATGCAGGAGTGGTGGTGCCAGCGTCCGAGGTTCGGGCTTCTGCCGAGGACGTTGGAGCAGAAGCAGCAGCAGCAGCAGCAGGAGAAGCGCCACTTGGAGCAGTAGAAACATCAGCAGCAGCATCTCAAGCAGCACCAGAAGCAGCAGCGCCACCACCACCGCCAGCAGCAACAGCACCACATGTCACAGGCCCAACAGGTGGAGTGTCAGGGGTGAGGGCAGCAGTTGGAGCATTCAGAAGGCCAGCGGCAGTGAGGGGCGGCAAAGGTGGGAGGGCCGGCGTGCCCGCTACTTTCAGAGCTGCTCCTAGGATGGCCCAGGCTGGTAGAGAGGGGGCCTCTGTTAGCTCTCCTCCTCGTTCTCCTCCTTCTCGTAGTCCTCCTCCCTCTGCTGCTGCTGCTACCGCCACGGCTGCAGCAACAAGTTCTGTGATTAAGGCAGAGGAAGGGGGATTACCTGCAGAAGCAGAGGAACGGGGAATGCGGTGGGTGGGTGGGAGGCGAGATGTGGAGGATACGTTAAGAGTGGATGCACGTAGAGGGAGTGGGGACAACGTGAGGAGATTAAATGGTGAAGAGATGGTGCAGCACGAGGAGGGGGAGGTGAAAGAGGAGGAAGAGGATGAGGAGGATGAGGAAGAGGAGGGAAGTGGGAGAGAAGAGAGGGGAGGGCTAGAGGAGGCAGGGGACATGGGGGACGGTGAAGAGCAGGAGTGGGAGGAGGGCGAACGTGAGAAGCAAGGGGTGGGAGGTGGGGGTATGGATGAAGATTTCGAGGAGGGAGAGGAAAGGGATGGAGGTGGGGAACTGGCAAGACGTGGGAATGGTGATGATGATGGTGCTGGTGACGATGGTGGTGCTGATGCACATGATCATGCCATGGCAGTGGATACTCCACCCGCTGTGCTGCAATCCCCTCCCGTTGCTGCTCTCGTTCCTCAAAACACACCTCCTCCCGCTCCTCCTGCTGCTGCTGCGGCTGCTGCTGCGGCTGCGGCTGCACCTGTGAGCCATGCCATGGCGCCCACCATGCCCAGCGCATGGGCCACAGATGGTGCCACGGCGGTGGTGGTCATTGAGAACTTAGAGGATGATACGGTTGCTCAAGACGTGCGAGATGTGGTGCAGGTAATTCCCTCTTCGCTGCATGCTCGTGCTTGCTTGTCGAGCCCTTTACATGAGCTGCCCAATCTCTTTGCTTCGCTTGTCCTTTTATTTCTTCCTTTCATTCTTTATTATGGTTCACTAGACCGACCCCTCCTTCCACCGGACACTACCACTCGCTTGCAGGCGCTCACAGTGTTTCCAGTGCTGGGAGCGGCGTTCTTCCCCCGGCACCCTCTGCGCGACCCCCCTGGGGCCGCATGGGCGGCTCTGCTCTTCCGCTCGCGCGACGAGGCCGCCAGTGTGGAGCGCTTCCTCTCGCACGACGCCGCTGTCATGCCCTCCGCCACTCGCAGGTCAGCAGTGAGAACGCCTGCAGGGCACCTCAAGAGAGACAGGGGACGTTTTGCTGTTTGTGCGCCGCAAAAACAGGTCGTCAGCAGCGTGGGTGGATCGCTTCCTCTCACACGACGCCGCTGTCATGCCCTCCGCCACTCGCAGGTCAGCAGTGAGAACGCCTGCAGGGCACCTCAAGAGAGACAGGGGACGTTTTGCTGCATGTGCGCTGCAAAAACAGGCCGCCAGCAGCGTGGGTGGATCGCTTCCTCTTGCACGACACTGCTGTCATGCCCTCCACGCACTAGGTTCCCATCGCTGTGCCGGTTTGTTGCATTGCGTGGTTGCATGCGTCCGTTCATCCATGCCATGATCCATCCCCCATCCGCTGCTTACATTGCATTTCCGCAGGCCCTGGAGAGCGTGGGTGATGCAAGGGCAACCAGCTGCAGACCTCAAGCGATACCTGGTGCCATCACAGCAGCAGCAGCAGCAGCAGCAGCAGCAGCAGCAGCAGCAGCAGCAGCAGCAGCAGCAGCAGCAGCAGGAACCGCATACTGAGCGCATAAGTTCCCGCACCGAGACGGCTGCTTCTTCTGCTGCTACACCTATGGTATCCACCCCTCACTCTCCCACACCAACGAACACCACATCCCCAACCCGTTTTCCCTTCTCTGTGGTCCTGTCTTTGTGGGCTGGGCCATCATATTCGTCAATGGTTTTGTGTTCGCTGTCCCTCTTTGTCTCTGCATCTCAGTGAGTTTTTGAGAATTTACAAAACCTCCCTGTCCCTCTTTGTCTCTGCATCTCATTTCGACCAGCCTCCACTCATGCTTCTCCTCTCCCACTTCGTCTCACCTGCCCCCTCCCATATCCCCAACCCCCCCAACTGTCCCAGGAGGCCTGCTCTGTATCGTTCCGTGACTGGGCCGCTGCTGAGCCCGGGACATCCAGTGTATCCGTGTCAACACCACCGCCACCACTGCCACCACCACCACACCCCCCAACAGCACCTGGAAACACGCAGCCACTTCCTTCTCAAGGCACCAGAGAAACCGCCACACCAACACTACCTCACACAGCTGTCGCTCCCCATGTCTCACGATCCAATTCCCTGCCCCGACCCTCCTCGGCTCGACCCTCCTCTCCCCGACCATCCCGTTCCCGACCCTCCTCTCCTCGACCGGGTGGGAGAAGCGCGGTGCCGCCTCATTTGTCGCTCGTGCCGTGGCAGTCGGAGGCCGCAGAGCTGCAGCGGCGGTGGAGGCGCATGAAGGTGCGGCACAACGCCGAGATGGCTGACATGGCGCAAAAGCATTCGCTGCAGGAACACCAGCTGCGCCTGGCTTTCATGTGATGCAAGCATTTGCTTCAGGAGCACCCGTTGCGCCTGACCTTTCTATGATCCTTCGGCTACTCAAGAGAAGAGCACTTCTCAAGAGTACCGTAATTAATGTTCAGCAGCTGTAGCAGCTGTAGCAGCTGCCCGAGATTCTTGTCACCTGGCTGGTGGAGATGAAACAACTGGTAATTTTCGCGGAATTCTCCTGGCCAAGCCTAGCGTTTAGGTTTGGGTAGTCCGGGGCACACACTCGGTGGGACAGCTACTTGGACTCTTCCAATCCCAAAGCCGGGGGAGGCTCATGGTAGGGGTAGGGAGACATTGCAGCTGGCTACATGCACACTGATATGGCACAATGTCACCAGCAACAGTAAGTGAAGGCGTGTATGGCCATGTTGGGGTGGGGAGGTTGAGGTGAAAATGTGCTGGTTCTTGCTAGGGGACAGAGGCCATGCATGTAATACTTTTGTTGTCTGAGTCTGAAACTGTTCATCCCGTTATTGGTAGTCCTGCACAATTTTCCATTCGAACATGGGCAGCGGACCGTACTTACCTATGCAACGAACATGCAGCAGCTGCAACAGTTGTGGAAATTACAGACACACCCAGTGATGTCTTCCTTAACAGTCACATCTGCCTGTGGCGAACTAGGCAAAGGCAGGCAAAATGTCTTGACGTGTCACAATTGCAACACCGGGGGAGGATCGGCTCCAAACACCGAAATTGTGTGCATCGCGTACGAAAAACGGATATAAATCTGCATGAGCAGTGCTGGCTGCTTCCCCGAGCCAATTGGGACACGATCGGATTTGCAAGTTGGGGACCTCCATGCCAAGTGCGATACACATCTGGTAGCGCAGGAGCCGTGCTTCGCGGGCGCGTCGTGCATTTTCGCATGTTGGTTTTATTACGATTAGTAAAAGATGAAGTGTTACTATGCACTCCTGACCAGGGCCTGTGCTAGGATTTGGGGCATCCTGAGGCCTCAGGGCAACTCGTCAAAATCTTAAAAAATGCCCTGATTTGTCAGGGCACATTTTCAAAGGCATCCTGTAGTTTCAGGGCTTCAGCAGAAATTAATCCTGACCGGTCAGGGCAAATAAACGGATGTTCAGGGTAGCACTTTTAGCAAGGCCTGGAACAGAGAGTTGGAGGCTCAACATCAGAGAGACGTGCACCTACCAGTGAATGCCTCACTCAGGACGATAGTGTTGCCTTGCCCTACCTGCTCCCAAACCAGACCAGCGAGGAATCTGAAGGGTTTGGTTGGTGCGTTGCGGACGTTCGGATGTGTCAAGGCAACCTGCGAAGGCGGGAAAAATACACGGGGAAGAAAATCCGCAGGGGAGAATTTTCCTGGGGAAAGAATCCCTAGGAAGGGAACCCCCTCCTTCCTTCCCCCACCTCCCCCCTCCCCTCCCCCCCCTCTCTAAAAACGCGCCAGGGCAAGCCTCGACATTCAACCTGACGCTACAGGGAAAAACACTACAGCCATCCTGAATTTCCAGGGCATATCATTTACAACATCCTAAGATTACATGGTAAAAATTAACACCATTCTGAAATTACAGGGCAAATTCAAAACAGCATCCTGAAATCAGGGTAATCAAGATGTTTTGCCCTGATATCGTGGGGCCTGCTCCTGACAGTAGCAATCGAACCATACAGTACCGAGGCTGAAGACGAAAAGGCAGAAGTGACGCGAAGAGTCGTACGGTTACGAAGCATCTGGACCGTCAGGGCAGACAGCATCAGGCAGCAGCAGTGGCGAGGATTTTGCCCGGACAGTTAGTAACCGTCTGGAGTCGCACGGTTGGATTTCGCTGCAATAAGGGAATGTACCCCTTAGAGTACATGGCTAGTCTAGGTCGTTTCGTATTCCCCTGTACTCTTATTTATATGCTTGTATTTGCATGTTTTAACCATCTCAATCTTTTTACATCCACTCTGAATTGAGGTCAAGGGCCTGTCAGAATGTTATTCTCTAGCCTGTAGTGGGGTGCTCTATAGCGAGTACAACCCATCTAGGGTTTGCTATATGTATCCTCATTGCTGCTAGTGAAAACCACTCTTCTCCTATTTCTCTTTCATATACCCTAAACCCTAGCCATGGCTTCTTAGCCTGAGCTCCGATTCTAACATGCTATCAGAGCGATACGCTCCTGGCCTGTGGGCCCACCTGCTTCCGCTGCCCTACTGTGTGTCGCGCGCCCCGTGGCGCGCGACCTCCTATTTTTTCTTCCCGCCACGCGCTCCGGGCGCGTGGCGGTTTTCTGCCCGCCGTGCGTCCCGAGGCGCGCGGCGGGTTCCTGCTTCGTGCGGTGCCCTGCGGGCCAGCGCGCCGGCCCCTCCCGTCACCTCGTCGCGGCGCCTTGGGGGCCCGCGCGCCGGCCCCAACCGTCGCCTCGTCGCGGCGTTTTGGGGGCCCGCACGCTGGCCTCTCCCGTCGCCTCGTCGCGGCGCCTTGGGGACCCGCGAGCCGGCCCCTCCCGTCGCCTCGTCGCGGCGCCTTGGGGGCCGCGCGCCGGCCCCAACCGTCGCCTCGTCGCGGCGCTTTGGGGGCCCGCGCGCGGTCCCCTTCCGTCGCCCGTCGAAGCGCTCTCGGGGGCCCGCGCGGCTCCCTAGCTCGTCGCCCGTCGGGGCGCCCTGGTGGCCGCGCCCTTCCCCTCCCCTCCCTCCTACCTTTCATCTGCAGCAACCCCCCCCCCCTGGAGCGGCCCGCAACTGCAGCAGCCGCCCCTGGAGCAGCCCGCAACTGCAGCAGCCGCCCTTGGAGCAGCCCGCACCTGCCACGGCCGCCCCTGGAGCAGCCCGCACCTGCAGCCCATCCCGTTCCCCCCCCCCCCCCCCCCGTGCCTTCCGTGGTGCTGGGGGTGTGGGGTGCCGAGCATGGGGGTGGCGGGTGTGGGGGTGGCGGTTATGTGTTCCTCCCCTTGCTCCTCCTCCTCCCTTGTCTCCCACTGCTGCAGCTGTCGCTGAGGGGGGTGGGTGTGTGGGAGCCTAGGGTTTAGGGTTTAAGGGGGGTGCTGTGGGAGTGGAGCTAGGGTTTGAACAGGGGGTGTGTGAGAGGGGAGTGGGGCAGTTGGAGGAGGTTGTGTGAAGGCAGCTGTCTTGTCGCCTGCAGTGCCTGTAGTCCGTCGCCCTTGCTTCGGTAGCCAGTGAGCCTGTTGCACCAGTCGCCAGTGGGTCCGTTGCTCCTGCCGCTCGTCTATAGCCGCGGAGCCAGTCACTCCAGTAGTCCGTCGCCCTTGCTTCGGTAGCCCCTGAGTCAGCCGCTCCTGTGCCCGTGCCTCTGCAGCTTCAGTCGTTGCCTCCCATCTTCTCTCCCTCCACAGTCTCTCCTCCTCCTCACTTGCCCTCTGTGATTAGCTCTAGCTTTGCTTACCTTTGTGAACTCCTGCTCTATACCTGTTTGCTCATTGTACTGATTACACCCCACTTTGGCTATGGGGGTGTGTCAGAATGTTATTCTCTAGCCTGTAGTGGGGTGCTCTATAGCGAGTACAACCCATCTAGGGTTTGCTATATGTATCCTCATTGCTGCTAGTGAAAACCACTCTTCTCCTATTTCTCTTTCATATACCCTAAACCCTAGCCATGGCTTCTTAGCCTGAGCTCCGATTCTAACAGGGCCCACCACTACCAATCAATTGTGTGCGAACCTTCCAGAGGTGATCCTAGGGTCGATCAACTTTTGATCGCAGCATGGTATAAGAGCGACTCGGGAATCCCTCGCACTGCCACCCCCGAAACCTTCGGCGAACGAAAGGTGGCGTCCGGCACACGCCCACGTGTAAGAATGGGCAGTGGATCTGGTTGTCAGGCGAATCTGATGGCTGAAGCGCAACCCAACCTGGTTGCGACAAGCGAGGAAACGATGACGATCGGAACCGCCGTCCTCGCACAACTGCTTCAGCGACTCACCAGCTTGGAGCAAGGACTCCAAACATTGCGGAATGGCAACGCGGGAACATCTTCCCAACCCTCTCAACCGGCCTCGAACGGCCACAATACCGCCCCGCACACCTTCTCCCTCTACACAAATGGCTCAACTCCCAAGACTCCCCGTCCCAGCGAAGAAGCAATTCTCTCTGCGCAATCAAGGTTTCTGAGCATATAAAAAATAAAGACAAGTATGTGTTTTGACGGCAAAGACTTTTATACGTAGAGCTTCGAGCTGGAGCTTCTGCTACAGAACGCGCAGATATTCCATTAATTTTACAGGAGCTACTCGGGACCTGCTGAAGACACCACTGACTAGGGCCCAATACTACAACGAGTCGTTGATGGCGTACGGCGTCCTGCTGCGGAACATGTCGCCGGCGGAGCAGCTAAGCATTCAATCGTACAAGACAACATCTGCTCCAGCCCTCAACGCTTGGCGCCACCTGAACGGCGTGTACCAACCGAAAGATTCGGTTTCATCGAGCCGCCTGCTCCAGCAGCTACTGGAGACAAGAATGGCCCCAGGGGAGAAGGCCAACAGCTACATTAATCGCCGTCGGAGCTTACGCGATCAAATCGCAAAACTGGGAAGCAGCATTTCCGAAGAAATCTTCGTGAACATCGTGCTTCAAGGGCTCGGCTCAGAATGGCGGCCCTGCAAGGCGCTTCTCCGACAGCAGGGGGTTATCTCGGAAGCCGCGCTATGCGCCTCCCTCCTCTTCGACCAGAGAGACATGGACCAGCAGCGACCAGCGCCGCGACGAGACAGGGAACGCCTCGCCTTCTACGCAGACAACATAGAAGAGCGGCGGTCGCGGCGCCTTTACTGCAAAATATACGGAAACTTCGGGCACTTGGCAGATCAATGCAAGTTCCAATCTCGCCCTCGCCATACCAATCCAAGCACCTACTCCGGCCGACAAGACACACGAAACGACACGCGTCAAGCCCAGGGGCACCAACCCCCATCGCGCAACCTGAACCCAG